AAGACAAAAGTGAATTTCTGCTTGAATCAATTACGTCTAATACATGCATACATACTGTATATACACATATGACACATATGCGCGACATTAAAATACTAGCTGTGATTTCCGTAAAAAAGTTAACTCACCTAGGTCCATATTAGGAGTCAAATTTTCTGTAGCTTCTGTTTCTCCTATGAGAAAACAACACAAATTCCAGGGCTTAGAGTTATGCTATAGAAAAATCCAATCATTAAAGTGATTTAAACTTTGATAATACTTTTGTCTTAAAACATGCCGTCTTTTTTAAAAAGCAAACTGACTTAAGCACGTCATCCTATTTCCTTCTGATAGCTAGGCAATCGTAAGACGCTAGATGAGCCTGTGGAGATTCCTGCTGGTGAAAACTGGGGGCTTCCATTTGCGTGGTTTGAGTGGCGAGACTCATGGGGCTGAGGCAGAATGCTCAGAACAGAGGAGAGCTTCTCTCTCAGGTCTTTTCACTTACACTTCTTTACACAAAGAAGAGATTAGTCACCCGCTGCTACCACGGAGCCGAGTTGACTTTAAAAAGGGCCTCCTACATTGCACATTAGAAGCCACTTCCCTCAGGGGTCATGCCCGTAGAGAGAGCTCAAGGATTTCAGTAGTGGGAATGGCTAGCTTTATGATCTGGGATGCTGAAGTGGAAGAAAAAGGTGCCTTTCTTCCTTAGATTTTCACTTAAAGTTACATGGATCTTTCCATTCTGTCATCCTAGAACACTTTGGTGGACAGGATCACGATCCCTCTGGCCTGGGGATCCAGAGGCAGATTCCCATCAATATGGTGCTGTGTTTGGGATGAGGACAGAGCTGAGGACACAGCAGCCCAGAATGCCAACTTTACTTTGTTCCCAGATTTCCCAAATTCTCGTCGGAATAAAGGATACCTGAGTCTATCAAACCACGCACCTAAGTTGTGTTCTAGGGCAGGAAAGGCTGTGCTCAGTGGTACTCACAGAAGAATGCTTAGGAATCAGAGGACTCAGATATTAACATCAAATGTTCAGCAAAGGAAAGTAGGAAAAGCCCAGTGAAGCGGAGGTGTCCTGGGTGTGGGAGGAGCAACACACAGCTTAGAAGCATGCGCCTTGAAAAGAATGGTTGATAGCTCTGGTTAGATGAAAACAAAGGACTTTAAAACTCATTCATTCATTCATTCATTCATTCATTGTGTGTGTGTTGTATGGGTAAGTGTGGGCACATATATAGAAGTCAGAGACAACTTGGGGGAATTGATTCCCCTTCCACTATGTAGGTCTGGGAGATTGGGCTCCAATAGCCAGACTTGGCTGTAAGTGCTGCCATCTTGTCAACCCAAAACCAGTGTTTTCTGCTTAACATATTTCACTACAGATAGTGTTAATCGATGGATGGATGACAGAATGGAAGAAGATGTTTGAAATATTTGAACCTGGTAAAGGATTAATATCCATAATGTAAAGGGAGTTTCTGCAAATCAGTGAGAGACTACAATGAAAGAAATCTGAGAAAAAAGTCAGATGAAGAGAAAAAAACTCAAAAAGCTGGTAGACCTGTGAGACTGCCCTGAGCCGTTGGTTATTATCAAAGTCCAAGTCAGTAATTAACAATGCCTTCACTCGCCAGTTGATGACTAGCACAGTGAAAAGCTAGATAATGCCAGATGTTTGTGGGATGAGCAGACAATGGAGGCAGTGCTGCTGGAAGTGAAAACTGGAACTTGACAGCTCTGCTAAGGAACATCCAGGCACTACTTGTCAGTTAAGGAAATGCACATTTCAAGACCTGACAAGAAATCCATCCCTCGGTAAGAAGATACCAATCACAGAGTGATGGAGGGCTGATTGTTCGTTGCTGAGAAGATGGAGGAAACTGGGAAAAATGAGCATGCATTTTGCGCGGCAGCTAGAAGCAACGGGGTAGATGAACACACAGCACCAATAGAACCTTAATATGTAATGCTGTGGGCAAGAAGGGAAAGGGAGCATGAGCTCCACAGCACAACGAATGAGAGATGTGCACTCACAGGATAACGCAGACTGGGGAAGAAAGGACACCAGCGACGGACATGCATACCAAACCGCATGAGAATGGTTGCCTACGTGGGGAGGAGAGAGGGAGTGAGGCTATGGTGGGGTGGAGATAGTCAAGAGGGGCCTAGCAGGAAGCAGGCATGATCGCATACAGACCTGCGCAGAATCAGTAAGTCATCCCCTGCCACTGAGGTGCAAAGCTAGGGAGGGAAGAAGAGGGGAAGGGGAGGGAGAAGAGGAAGGAATGGATGAGCAGGGGGACGAGAGAGCAGCGGCCTCAGGGGGCAAAATGACAAGTCAGATGGGGCGGAAGGAACAGGGTAGACATTGAGGGCAAGGGTTGGTTCTGAGCTGCTCAGTCTCCCAGGAATCCTAAGAAACTAAGGAAGAGCATGAACTTTTCGCATTAGGTGGGCTGGGGACACAAGTCGTTTTATATAAATAACTAAGAAAAAAGTGGCTATGAGAGGGGTGGGAGGCGGGGAGATAAGCCTGGAAGAGAATCTGCTAAAATACGCTTTGCTTGAAAATGCCATAATGATATCTAACACCATGTATGCTCATTTTGTTTTATTATTATTTTTTTTGATATTTTATTTTATGTCTGTGAGAGTTTTGCTCACATTTTAAGTGCACCTGTTCTGTGCAATGCTTGCTGAGGCCAGAAGTAGGCATTAGATCTCCTGGAACTGGAGCTTCCAATGGTTGTTAGCTGCCATGTACACTGGGAACTGAACCTTGAGCCTCAACAAGAGCAGCCACGGTCTTAACCCCTGACTCATTTCTCCAGCCCCATCATGTGCTATTTTGCCTCATTTCTTTTTAATATTCCAATATTTTAGTAAAAATGTTGCCTTGATCTGAAGGCCCAAAGCAAAACAAAACATAAAACCAAATATGTTACTGCAGCAAAGCATAGCTTTTAACTGAAGAAAAAAAAAAAAGCTGCACCATGTCATTATACATGTACTCAAAGCGCATACATTTAACCTTGAGCCTCAACAAGAGCAGCCACGGTCTTAACCCCTGACTCATTTCTCCAGCCCCATCATGTGCTATTTTGCCTCATTTCTTTTTAATATTCCAATATTTTAGTAAAAATGTTGCCTTGATCTGAAGGCCCAAAGCAAAACAAAACATAAAACCAAATATGTTACTGCAGCAAAGCATAGCTTTTAACTGAAGAAAAAAAAAAAGCTGCACCATGTCATTATACATGTACTCAAAGCTGGCATACATTTTATTTTTAGTAGAATTAGAGATTTTTTAAATGATTTATTTATTTTTATTTGTACAAGTGTTTTGATTGCCTGTGTGTGATGTTGATGAATGCCAGAAGAGGGCAGTAGAGCTGCCATGTGGATGCTGAGACTCGAACCCAGGTCCTCTAGAAGAACAGCAAGTGCACTTAACCCCTGAAACTTTCTCTAGCCCCACAAGTTTTCTATTATAAAAACAGATTTACCTTGATGAATTGCAGGATGTCTGTCTCCTAAAGAAAACACAAACCAAACTCACTATAGCAGAGATCATTTTTATTTGAATGTATCATAGGCAAATCTTTGATAATGCAGAAACAATATAACAACTTAAAATTAATGCTACAAAAAGGTAAAAGAAAGCCATATAGCATGCCATCTTATCTTGGCTTTAATTCTAACAAGAGCTTTATCTCTCACTTAAACCAAGTGCATCACAGCAAGGCAATTATTTTAAGTTTAAAAGAGATGAGTATTTTAGATACATGTGTACACATTCTCAAAGCAAACTTACTATACAATTATACAAAAGTTATAACTATTTCTATGTGCTAACAAGGGGGTTCTTTTAAAAGGCCAGTGTAATCAAAAGATAATCCAACCCTGCTTTGATTTAGTGATTCTGACGTGGCCACTTAGAGGCCAACGGGTGCATTACCTCTCCATCTCTGCTCTCACTTGCCGTTTCTGTCTTTCTAAAAAGTATTTTATCTATCTATCTATCTATCTATCTATCTATCTATCTATCTGTCTATCTGTGTATGATTATATTGCCTGCATATGTGTAAGTGCACCTGTGTCATGCAATGCCCGTCGGGGTCAGAGGAGGCCGTCAGACCCTTAACTGGGGTTAAGGACAGTTGTTAGCCACCATGTGAGTGCTGGAAATTGAACCAGGATCTTCTATGAGAGCAGCCAGTGCTCTTAACCACTGGCCCCATCACTTGCCTTCTCTTAAAAGGGAGAAAGTTGGAACCATTGCTGAAATACAAAAGGTGGAGCTTGCCCTAATGTACATGAACTCAAGTAACAATGGTTCACTAAGTGCATTTTCTGCTGCAGATTCAAGAAATTTATAGGAAAATAAGCTTTCAACTGCATTTTTTCCTGAACTAGAAAATTGTGTCCATTGGCCTTAATATTTTTTATTTTAAATGGGAGAGGGAGGGGAACAAGAGGAAGAGGTGAGGGCAAAAGGCCCAGATGTTACAACACTGGAGGTGAAACTGTAGGGTTTTATAGCAAAAAGTCCCAGCTTACTGTCCTCCTATCTATAACTTTTCCTTTCTCCCTCTCTTTACTATGGATTAAACTATATTTAATAAACATAAGGTGTCACTCCTTAAATCCTCATATGCCATTTAAAAGAAATGATGTAATTTTATTTCTTTATAATTATTATTTTGGAATTGTATGAGTGTTTTGCCTGCAAATATATGTGCACCCACATATCCAATGCTAGCAGAAGCCAGAAAAGGGCATCAGATCCCCTGGGACTGGAGTTAGAGACAGTTGTTAGTCACCATGTGAATGCTGGGACTAGAACCTGGGTCCTCTGCAAGAACAACCAGTGCTCTTAACCACTGAGCCATCTCTCCAGTCCCCAAGATAGATGATATAATTTGAAATCCTTAAAAGGAGAGTCTTTAAGAATTGATTGTCCTGGCTGCCTTTCCAGTTGCTGTTATAAAATTCCCCGACAAAAGAAACTTAAGGGTGAAAGAGCATATTTTAGCTCACTGTTCTGGGTCTATCATAACAGGGATGCCAAGGTGGCAGGAGCTGATTGGAACTGACCGTATGACATCGGTGTTCAGGAATAGAGAGCAATGAATGTCTGTAGCCTATACTCGGCTTCCTATATTCAGTTCGCTTTCTTCACTCTTACACAGTCCAGGATCCCCGGCCTAGGGATAGTACCACCCACAGTGGGCACGTCTTCCCACCTCAATTAACCTAATCAAGATACCCTCCCACACACACACCCATAAGCCAACCCTCTCTAGACTATTTTTAAACACTGAGACTCTTCCCAGGTAATTCCCGAGTCCCAATTGTGTCAAGTTGAGAATGAAAATGGTTACACCAATATTAATGGAAATTAAAAATTGTAATAAATCTAACACTGGAACATTAAGTAATATTCAAACATAATGTCAAGTCATTTATATATTTTCAACATTTAATGCTTAAGTGTCCTAGGACTCTGGAACATATAAATAAATAGGTTCTACTTTCAAGGCGAATACTGTTGATAAGGACAAGTATAAAAAGTATAAGAAACAGTTCAAAGTACCTCAGTAGCTGCTGGAGTGGCCTGGCTCCATGCTAGGGAGCTTTCTGTGCTTGGGTTCCCACTTTATGCTCTATGACGGTGCATCAACAGCTTGAAATCACACATGACGCAGTATTAAACTGGCAAAAGCTACATGCCTGGGGCTTCCTTCTCCCTCTCTAAAGCTGTTAAACATTTACTGGCAGAGCCCCGGATACCTTCCACAAATTGAGAAGCTGTCAGACACTGCTCCTCCTCCTCCCTTCCCCAGTCCTATCCTCATTTCTCAGGCCAGCACCTTGTAACTCACCTTCCCTTCCCACTCATTTGCTTTCACCCCTCCAATCAGCTGCAAATCTTGCTGGCTTACCTTCAATGTATATCTAGAATATATTGAGGGAGGTCAATAAAAGCAAAGCATGACACATCATAATGAAACGTACTGTTTTGTGTACTAATAGAATTAATTTGAAACCAAGCCAGATACGTACACACACATAAACACCTCCAGAACCTGAGTGCTCCCCACCACGACCCTCCTACCCACCTGTCCTAGGCACGCTCACCTCTTCCCTAGGTTGCTCCAGGAGTTCCTGAACTGATTCTTTGCTTCTTGCCTTGACTTTTATAGCCCATTCCACACTGATCTGTTGTGTGACAAAAACCCTCTGACCAAAAGCAACTTAGGGGAGGAAGTTGGATTACATGTCCAGGTCACAGACCTCACTGAGGGAAGTCAGGGTAGGACCTGAACACCGATAAAGGCCGGCGTACTTGCTATTCCACATAGCCTTACGAAGAGGAACATCAGAAACCATGGAGGACTACTCTTGCTGGCTCATTGCAGGTTATGTTTAGCTACCTTTTGTTTTTCTTCTTCTTTTTGAGACAGGGTCTCCCTGTAGCTCCAGCTGGCTTGGAACTCACTATGGAGACCAGGCTGGCCTTGAACTCACAGAGAAACGCCTACCTCTGCCTCCCAAGTGCTGGGATTAAAGGCGTGCGCCACCACGCCGGACCATTACTTCGCTTTTCCACACATCCCAGGACCACCTGCCCAGGAAATGGTACCACCGAGAGTGTGCCTGGTCCTCCTACATCAATTAACAAACAAGACTGTCCTCCACAGTTATGGTCCCGTCTGATCTTCGGACTCTCTCAATTGAGGGTCCCTTGTCAGGTGACTCTAGGCTGTGTCAAGTTGACAATTAAAGCTGATTGGGACACTCACCCACCAACCAGAGTAATCTGTTTAAAACGTCAGTGAAATCAGGTCACTCTGCTCAAGGTCACATAGTGACCCCTGTCCATTAACAGGCTTTATTTGATCTTCCTCACACTTCTGCCTGCCACACTAGCCTCCTTGCTGCTCGTTCCTCAGATGTACTGGGGGTGTTTCTGGTTTAGCAACATCGCACAGGCTGTTTCCTGAGACACTCTTCTGTAGACATCTGCCTGACTGGCTCCATCATTTCTTTCAGCTCCTTATTGAAAGTCCTCCCTGTGCCACTGAAGTTTCAAAGCTCACCCCCTGACAGCTATAGTCTCTGTCATTATTTTTCTTCAAAGCACTTTACAAATCTCATTTAATGTACATGTGCTTGTGTGATATTCGCCATTGGGCAATGTGTGAATGTGAGGGTCAACCTGTGGGTCAAACTGAGACCATCGGGCTTGGCCGCAAGCACCTTCACCCGCTGCGCTGTCTCACTCTCGGCACTTTGGTTTACTTGATGCTTTGTTTGTTTCTGTAATTTTTTGTCTTTTCTTCCTCAACTGAGACTTAAAATCCAGAAAAGTAATTCTTTTTTAATTTATTGAGATAAGTCTTGCTGTGTAGCCTTGGCTGCCCTGGAGCTCACTATGTAGACCACACTGGCCTCAAATCTATGGCCATCATCCTGTTCACCTCCAGAGTGCTTATATTATAGGGGTATACCTCCATGCCTGGTTGGGGAGGGATTTGTAAAAGTTATTCACTATTGTGACCCTGGTGCCCAGAACAGAGCCAGACACATACAGTAGAAGCTTAATAAATAAATGTTCAATGAGGAATAAATGAATATAATACTGAGATTTTTCCTCCAGGAAGTAGGAATGGAAGCAAAAAGTCTGGCACAGAATACATACATTGCATTGCATTGCATTGGTAGAAATGAGACAATCAGACAAAAGATGTCTAACCAAAGTCTGAAGAGTTCATGCCTAGAATATCGAGCCTTGAATCTAATCAAGTCCATGAATTCAGAATAAGGAACATCGTACAGGAAAGTGACCTACATCACCAAAAGAACAACAAAATTCCAAGAGATGAGGAAAACTAGGGTGAGAAGATTGGGGATAGGCTTGACTAATAAAATAAATTTCAAAAATGAATAACAATAAACAATATTTGTGTTCTTGGGAAACCTGGTTTGACTATATTAAATCAAAAGAACTTTTGTTTGAACTAGGGAAAATCTATTGTTTGCTTGTTTTTGCTTTTTCTTGTTTTGAGACAGGGTCTCTCTGTAGTCCCAACTGCTTTGAACTGGCTATGCAGACCAGGCTGGGCTTGACATCCCAGAGATCTGCCTACCTCTGCCTCCTGAGTTGCTGAGGTTAACGGTGTGTGCCACCATGCCTCAAACATGGCTATTATTAAATAATGATATGGAGGGCTGAAGAGATAGCTCAGCGGTTAAGAACACTGAGTATTCTTTCAGAAGATTGGGGTTCGAATCCCAGCACCCACATGGCTGCTAAAAACTGTCTATAACTCCTGTTCCAGGGGACCCGACAGCGTCTTTTGTCCCTAACAGGCACTGCACTACACGGGTGCACTTACCTACATGCAGGCATAACACTCATACACATAAAATAAAAATAATAAAATATTTTTAAAAGTAGAGCAATACAATTATAAAAAAATGTTATGGAGTATTTTTATTTTCAGACATACGAGAGAATGAGTTAATAAACAGTGTTTTTATCATTAGAGATGTACAGGTTAAGTAACATGATATCTGAAATTTGTTTTTAAATACTTCAACAAACAGTAACTATTATAGTTGGAAAATGGATTCAGAGGAGATCATACTAATAGTCTGTCTTTATTGATCGGTGACAATTTTCTAACAAAAAGTTCTAAAATAACAAGTTTATACAAAGAAAGGACCATTTACTGTTCTCCAAATGCTTGCTCCGTTATGGGCCTGCTGTTCCTCTTGGGTACGGCTACTTAAGATTACAACTTACCTAAAGCTTTCTTCACAGTTCCTGGATTCAGTAATGAAAAAAGAAGTCACTTCAGATTACCTTTACAACCAGTTTCGTCTTCCCCTGTGATGCAGTCCACTTCACCGTTGCACTTATAGTGGCTCGGGATGCAAACACCAGACTTGCAGAAGAAACTATTACCTCTGCAACCTGTGCAGACACAAGGAGAAGTTTCTTCCACTGCTTAGCACTGGGTGCAGTAGGGGCTGAGGCAATGTGGGTCAGTGGGAGAGTGCTTGCCTAGCATGTGTAAAGCCCTGGGTTCAAGCCCCAGCACACACATGCCCCACCCCAACTCTGCTCTCACAGAGTGGAATCTTGCATACCGTGATGACTGACTTAAGAGTGCATGCGGGGTCTGAGAGCTGGGTGTGCACCGACCTGTACAGCATAGCTCATCACTTTGATCTCCACAGTCATTTATGCCATCACATGCTCGCTCCTGAGGAATGTGCTTCCCATTCACACACTGGAAGGACTGGTTTGTTGGAGAATCTGTAAAGCAGGGATTCTTTGTGAATTTATTCATGGATTTGTGGTATAAATATCCTTGACATATTTTGAGATGAGTCACTACAATAAAACTCTGATTTCCAGAAATGATATAAAGTAGTGGTGGGTGTGGCATACTCCAATAATCCCAGCACTCTAGAGGCTGAGGCAGAGGGCTCACTGCAAGCTTGATGTTAGTCTGAGACACATAACAAGACCCTGTCTCAAAATACCAAAATAGACAATTAATTAAAAATTATATCAACAAAGTTGGATATGGTGGCACATGCCTTTAAACCCAGCACTTGGGAGGTAGAGGCAGGTAGATCTCTCTGAGGTACAGGCCAGCCTGGTCTACAAGATTGGTCTTCCATGCACTCTAAGTAAGTCATCATGGAAAGCAAGTTCCAGGCCAGCTGAGGCTACAAGAAGACCCTCTTATGAAAAACAAACAAACAAAAACCCCTTATATATCAAGAAATCAAACAACCCAATTTAAAAAAATGGGTTGTGGGCTGGGTATGGTGGCTCACCTGTAGTTCTAGCACTTGAGAGGCAGAGGCAAGGCAGAACTGTGAATTAGAGGTCAGCCTGATCTACAGAGCAAGTTCCAGGCCATCCCAGGCTATATACTGAGACCCTGTCTCAAAATATCGAACCAACCAACCAAAAAAAAAAAAAGAAAAAAAGCCAAACAAACAAACAGTCTATGGAGCTGAAGAGAGAATTCTCAAAAGAATACAAATGGCTAATACACACTTTAAAACGTGTTCAACATCATTAGCCATAGGGAAATGTCAATCAAAACTCCTTTGAGGATTCAGTTTCACTCCAGTCAGAACGGCTATCATCAAAAAAGAAAATTACAACAAACGCTGATGAGGACTTGGGGAAAGAGGAATCCTTATTCACTGCTGATGGGAGTGTAAATTGGTGCAGCCACTAAGGAAATCAGTGTAGAGGTTCCTTAAGAAGCTAAAAATAGAACTTCACATGACCCACTGATTTCACTTGTAGGCACATTCACCCAAAGGATTCTATACCTTATGGCAGAAATACCTGTGCATGTGTGTTCGTTGCTGCTCTATTTACAACTCAAAATGGAATCAGTCTAGCTGCCCATCAACTGATGACCGAGTAATAAAAATGCAGCACACGATGGAATTTTATTCAGTCATAAAATCAAATTACGGGATTTGCAGGAAAATGGAATTAGAAAGTATTGTATTGAATGAGGTAATCCAGGCCCAGAAAGACAAATGCTGTATGTTCTCTTATATGTGGATCCCAGCTTTTAATTTATGATTCTGTGTTTGAATTGGAGTGCATGTCTATAGAGACCAGGAGCCAGGGGGCAAGTGAAGGCACTGAGAGGAAGACCTGGCAGAATACATGGACTATGGAAGAGAGGAGGGGATACTGGGCATGAAACGGTTAAATAGGGATGGGGTGGAAGGATGGAACCCCAAACATTAGCTACACAGGGAAGCATGCTGCTTATACTTTGTCCTAGTTTCTCCACTGCTGTGACAAAACAATCTGACCAATACCAACTAGGGGAGGAAAGGGTTTATTTGGCTTGCATCTCCCAGGTCACAGTTCATCAGGGAGCCCAAGGTAGGAACTCAGGGCAGGAACCTGGAGGCAGGAGCTGGAGCACAGGCCATGGAGGATCACTGCTTCCTGGCTTGCTTCCTGGACCCTATTCAGCCTGCTTTCTTGTGCAACACAGGCCACAGTGGGCTGGGCCCTCCCACATCACCCAGCAATCAAGAAGATGCCCTGCAGACATTGCACAGGCTGGACCAATGGAGGCAATTCCCCAATTGAGGCTCCCTCAACCCAGGTGTGTCAACTTGCCACTAAAGCTCTCCAGCAGAGGCTTTATTGTCTTGATACTGTACTGATGTGGCCTCTACTCCTGGGACGCACACAGGCAGTGCTGTTGCCATGTGCCACAACCCTTTTTTCTTAGCACTGGCAAGGGTATGATTTTATTCCTTAGCATTATACATGTGGCCACAATATTTCAAAGTTAGGATGGAGGAGCAAAGTGATGGTGCCTCCTGGGAGACGGAGGCAGCAAGGCGGCCACTTGCACATTTTAAAGAGATGTGCACAGTATATAAGAAGGCAAACTCCGGGCTGGAGAGATGGCTTAGCGGTTAAAAACACTGACTGTTGCAGAAGACACTGGTTCAAATCCCAGCACCCACATGGCAGCTAACAACTGCCATGGAGTCTGTAACTCCATTCCAGGGGATCTGACAGACTGTTCTGTCCTTCACAGGTATTGCACAACATGGGTACACTTACCTACATGCAGGCAATACACTCATACATGAAAAATAATAAATAAAATATTAAAAAGAAAAAGAAGTAAAACTCAAAGAGACGCTGAGGTACAGCTTCATATCTGATGGACCCCCACCCCCACTCCCACCCCTGGGGTAACATGAGACCAGATGTTCAAGGAAGCAAAGAGGCAGATAATTTTGATTCCATATAGGAACCTAGACAGAAGTAATATTTGAGTGTCAAAAGAGGAACAGTGGGGGGCTAGAAAGACGGCTGCCCTTGCAGAGGACCAAGTTTTAGTTCCCAGCACCCATGTGGTGGCTAATACCTATAACTGCAGTTCCAGGGGATCCAATACCTTCTTCTCGTCTCTGTGAATATTGCATGACACGGGTGCACTTACATACATACAGGTAAAACGCACATACACATACAATAAAGCACATTTAAATAAGGAGCAATGGGGAAGAGCAGTAATCCAGGCTCTAAGTTCCCAAACCTAGTAGAGGTGACTGTCTGCTCGACCGACACCTGGCTGTCAGTCACAGATTAATTTCTATAGGCATTTTGTGAAACATGCAACATTGACAGGAGGGAATGCATCCGTCTAGTGGTCTACCGACCTGCATCTTGGGTGTAGCACACCACACCTGCAAAAGCCTGGTAAGCCGCTGTTCTCTTGGAGAAAGTACACTCGGCCAGACTGGTCTCTATTCCCCGGCAACGTACTTGAAGACACTCGGTATGGCTTACATGGATGTTTCCAGGCAAATGAAAAGTTTTTTTTGTATCCAGAGCACCCCTGGAAACAGAATAATTGAAATATCATGGTATAATAATTAGTTTCTTTTTACAACCTTAACTGTAGGAAGTGAAAGCCTAGAACAAATTTCTCTCATTTTCTAGAAATTAGTTACAGATTGAAGAAAATATTAACATTCTCCGAGCCTTAATTCCTTCATTCTCTTTGGTTTTGTAAAGATTAACTAAAATAATCTATATAATTCAACTAATCAGGGTTCAAAACATGGCAAGGACTCAGCAGATTGGCTTTTGAACTTCTGTTTCTTATTAAAGAGGCATGTTTCCCTCTCACTTGATGTTGACCACCAGTGATGGTCCCTCCTTATCATGGATCCTGGTCCCTCCTTATCATGTAATTTATTGTCTATCCATGACAGAGAGAGAATTGCCTTGGTCAGAAAATCTGGAAGTATACATCAGGAAATGTCCGCACAGATTTACCATGTTTTTGTTTTGGGAGTTTTTCCACCTGCCCCAGCTTTGGAACCCTTACCTAGTTGATCTTACTATTACTTAAAGTTTGAGAAGCTGCTATTATTATTGTTGTTTGTTTGATTGTTTGAAGACAGGGTCTCCCTGTAACCCTAGTTGGCCTGGAACTCCCTATGTAGACTAGGCTGGCCTTGGTTTCACAGAGATCAGCCTGCTCTACCTCCTGAGTGCTGCGATTAAAGGCGTGCCACCACAGGGGTTTGGGAAGTTATTTTAACACCGGGACAAGACATTTCCATTAGGCTTTTACAGTAAGATGCATCTTTGATTCAGCCTTGACAGTATGAAGGTATATTTTGTCATATTTTGTCATTTTCTCTGTGGAGATTAATTTTAATTGTCAATTTTGATATTCACCTAGGTTAGGAAAGTACACTTCCGGGTGTGTCTGTGAAAACATTTCCAGAGAGGATTGGTTCATGAGGGCTCTGACCTAATGACTACAATTCCTTGACAGGCTTGCAATGTGATAACATACCCTGCAGTGGTGAGAGGTTGGAGGTGGAGCGAACTTAGAGGAAGTAGGTCAGTAGGAGTAGATCCTAGGGGTCATATCTTGCCCATGACCCCTCTGGTCTCTTTGTTTTCTGCTCAACATATGGTGTAGTCTTTACCACAAGTTTCTACCACCATGATAATGTGCCTCGCCACAAACCTAGAAAACATGGGGCCAGCGGTGGTGGGCAGAAGCCTCTGAAACTGGGCCCAAAATAAGTCCTTTCTTTTTAAGTTCTGATACATTTCTGTCACTGGAATGCAGAAAGTAACGAATACAACAACACTTCTTGGGCTCCTGGGTTTGTTCAGGGTCTGTGAAAAGAATCCTTGGTTCCCTAAAAGCTCAGAGACATGACTCACAGTAAGTCTTCTCCCAGGACACCTGTGCTCTTCCCTGCTTCTCTTCAGAAGTAAATGAGGAAGACAGGTTTTAAAAAGGGTCAGCAGGGATGCATCAGGTCAGTGGAAATACAAAATCAAGTACTAATTGCAGTATAATAACAGGGTAATTAGAATGAAAGACAAGACGGGAACCCAGGCCATTTCTAGTTATTCTGAGTCCACAGTGAAGAATCAGTGTTGTGATAAGGTGGCTCCGTGAGAACAACGGGCCATTAGGATGTTCTGGTAGGTAATAGGGAAGTAATATGAAAACTTTTACAGCCTAAAATTATTATAGTATGTATAATAAATGGGGCCATGATGTGGCGCAGTCAGTCGAGTGCTTGTTTAACAGGAACTAAGTACTGGGTTTCATGCTCAGCACTGAGTAATTTTTGTCTGGTGGTGCGAGCCTGTAATCCCAGCATTTGGAGGTAGAAGCAAGAGGATCAGAAGTTCAAGGTCATCCTTGGCTGCACAGTGAATTTGAGGCTAGCCTGGGCTAGCAAAGAACATTTATTAAATGACCAAAATGGTTTCTTAGGGCAACTTCATTGGCTGAAACCAGAGAACTCTGTCCATGAACATATGCAATCTAGGACAAAAGAAGAATACCAAGAGGCTAAGAATGAAGAGTTTACCAATAGATGGGAATCATAGGTTGTGGGTCACAGCTATGAAAAGTCAGAAAAATGCAGTGGCTCAATCTGCTAAGAGACCCACCATGAACTACTGGCAGATTCAGCTTTAGAAGAAAATTAAAGGCAGGATGAAGGCATGAGATGAAGGAGGAACAAGCCAAGGACGTGGCAAAAATGAAGTAAGGCTGAGTGTGCAGTAACAACACCAGGGGCTTAAGAATTAGGCAGCATTAAATATTGGAAACTTGACAGGCTAATGGCCTTTTTCTGTAATTTCTAAAGAAGGAGAGACTTCCTAAGCCAAGGATTGATGATATCAGTTCTAAGGTAGTCAATAAGTAATAAAATACTTAATTTCTAAGCCAAATAGAGTAAGGTAAATAGGAAGATTTTGTTATATTTCATTATTCTTATTGTATGAGAGTGTTGCCTGTATGTGTGTAAGTGCACCTGTGTCATGCAATTCCCGTGAAGGTCAGAAGAGGGCATTGAATTCACTGTAACTGGAGTTATAGACAGTTGTTAGCCTCCATGTGGGTTCTGGAAACAAACCTGGGTCCTCTACAAGAGTATCCAGTACTCTTAACCACTGAGCCATCTGTCCAGCCCCATGAGAAGACATTTTTAAAGATATTTATTAGCCCAACAGATTAGAAAAAAAAAAAAAGCAACACAGGAAAAGAAATGTAGGCAGTAAGGCAGAAAAAGACAGGGAAAGCGAAGCCAACAATGTAGGCAACCCCAAACCAGTAAGATGTAAACTCCAGGTAAAGGTGACTATAGATTGGAATTTGAAGACAATCTAGTGGGACTGGAGAGGTGGCTCCACAGCTAAGAGCACTGGCTGCTCTTGCAGAGGACCCAGGTTTGGTTCTCAGTACCATACGGTGGCTAACAACTGTCTCTAACTCCAGTTCTAAGGGATCCAGCATACGCTCTGGCCTCCTCAGGAACCAGGCATGCTTAAGTTCCACATACATATATGCAGGCAAAACACTCACACACATAAAAAATAAAAATATAAGCAAATCTAGGTATGAGTGTAAAGAATATACTTCTATAGGATGGGAGAAAATCTTTGCCAGCTATACATCTGACAGAGGATTCGTTTTGAGGCCTTACAAAGAACTCAAGAAAGTAAAGGTCAAGAAAACAAATAACCCAGTCAAAAAATGGGCTATGGACATAAAGAGAGAATTCTCAAAAGAAGAAATACAAATTGCTAATAAATGTTTTCAAAATGTTCTACATCATTAGCCACCAGGAAAACTCAAATGAAAACTACTTTGAGATTCCATTTCACCCAGTCAGAATGGCTATCAGAAAACTAAAACACCAACAAATGCTGGTGAGGGTGTGAGGGAAGGAACACCCTCATCTACTGTTAGTAGGGGTGTAAATTGGTGTAACCAGTTTGTGGAAATGTGGTTCATACTGTGGAAATCAATATGAGGTTTCTAAAAAAGCCAAAAATACAACCACTGTATGACCCAACTGTCCTGGAACTTGCTATGTAGATCAGGCTGGCCTCGAACTCACAGAGATCTGCCTGCCTCTGCCTCCTGAGTGCTGGGATTAAAAGTAATTATAGGTAATTATACCTAATTATAGGTACTTTAAAGCAACAGAAAGAAACCATTGTATTCATTTGAAAAGCACTAAAGAAACTTCAAAACTGCACATGGATCAAAATGAAAGTGTATTAAACATTAGATGGTATTATGAACAGATCAAAAAATAAAATATCACTTGTGGAAACCTATGCCCTACAAATAAAGCATTCCCAGAGGGAGATTACACCTGAAATATTTATGTTAGTCAAGAAAGGACAATTGAAATGATAAGTTAAACCTTCAATTCAAGGGAGAAGAGAAACAATCAGTAAGAAGGGCTGGAGCTATATTGCCTGGCACGCATGAGGCCCAGATTCAGTCCTTAGTAGTACCTCCCTCCAAAAAAGAGGAAAGAGGAAAATTCAATAGGGAAAAGGGAAGAGTTAATGTGGCAACAATGACTAATGATGTAGAATTAAGAAATAAGATCATTTAAAGAACAAAATTGTAGGCTGGGCGTGGTGGTGGCGCACAACATTAGTCCCAGCACTCGGGAGGCAGAGGCAGGTGGATCTCTGTGAGTTCAGGTCGAGTCTGGTCTACATAGTGAGTTCCAGGCCAGCTGGGGCTATAGGGAGACCCTTTCTCAAAAAGACCAAAATAATAATAATAATAATAATAATAATAATGATGTAAATAAAGTACAAAAATGAAAAAGACCAACAAATCTCTGAAAGTCTGACCAAGGAAAAAAGAGAACGAGTATAAATAAAGAGCATCAGATATGAAAAAGTGGACATAATTCTAGGGCAGCCAGAAGTGTATTTAAAACTGTGGACACCTCCACAGGATTCAGTGCAGACAGACAGGTGCTCTGTGCTCAGCAGGGCTCCAGGAGCCGGCAAACGTGGACGTGGTCAATCCTAGCAATGCTGTGAGGTGCGTAGTCAACATTCTCAGGCCACATATGAGGGATTACACAATCAAAAGTAAGCAGTTGGAGTAATCAGACTAATCCCAAGGTAAGCCTTCCATACAAATACTCACTCCTGAAATCCAAGTTCAAAGCAGGCCACATTGGCTTCTGTCAGGCTCCAGTCATTTTTACATATGAACATTTTTTCATCATGGTCCACAAGTTTTACTTGAACAATTCCCTCTGAATCTCTATCTCCATAACGTAAGGAAACAATAAATTTTCCTGAAATGAAAAACCCAAGGATGAGCAATATTCACATATTCAATCCCCCTTTTAATTTGTCTTTAATAAAATATCTAATTTCAAATTGACTTTGACCACCATAGTGATTCTAACAAATGATAAGCAAATACTTTGTGAGTGCTAATTATGTATCAATGACTGTGTCACTAAATGCTCACATCGACCCTTAAAGATTAAGCTACACAGAAACGCAAAAGACCTCCACAAGATCCTGAGAGTTAAAAATTCCAGCATGGAGGGGGAATGGGTTCCTGATGCCCCACCCCAGCTGAAGAGCTAGTGGCAGTTCATGACTCAGAAGGCAGAACAGTCATTTGTTTGGGGAGGGGGGATGGTGACCATTGGTAGGTTTCCCATTCCCCAGTGGATGCCTCTCCACATACCCTGATGGCTAATTGAACTCTATGAGAGATATCCAACATGAAGGTGGGACGGAGATGGGAGGTGTGTGTGTGTGTGTGTGTGTATGTGTGTGTTTGTGTGTGTGTGTGTGTGTGTGTGTGTGCACTGTGGGGACACCTAGGAGGATCTAGAGGGAGTGGGGGATGGATATGACCCAGATATATTGTTTACATGTATGAAATTTAAAAATAAAAAAAGATAGGTCTGGAGAGATGGCTCAGCAGTTAAGAGCTCTGGCTGTTCTTCCAAAGGACCCAGGTTCAGTTCCCAGTAACCACATGTCACCTAACAACTGTCGCTAACTCCAATTCCAGGGGATCTGATCTGACACTCTCTTCTGGCCTCCTCTGGTATTGCACACATGTGGTGCCCTTACATATATGCAGGCAAAATACTCATACACTAAAAATAAATAAATACATTGAAGGCGAATGTCTTAAGCATTCCCATCTAAGTTCAGAAGTGTCTGTGATAACTTGGTATCAGAAGACAGTGATTCTGAGTTTTGCTGTGATAGCTAAACTTTAATAAGCACTTTCTGTGGGCCAAGCACTTTGCAAAGAGCCTCGTGTGCATCATTTTATGACTTACAAATATTTCTACTGTTTACACTTTCCAGATGAAGGAACTGGGTCCTGAAGAAGTCATGTAGTTTGCTGATAACAGCTGGGATTGGAGGAGCTTGATAACAAATTTGAGTGAGAGTGAGGTCTCTAATCCTTTTTAATGTTTTGATTCTTAATCTCAAACACTCCACTAATTTGCACATGTGCACACCCAGGCCCTAGATTTCTCATTACATTAGTCACCTGGGTGACTCCACAAGCTCCCTGCCTGCCATGCTAGGTTTGTCCCAGACCAGCACCATCTCCAACTCCCCTTGGATAATCAGTCAGTGGGGTCAGGCCTGGGTGGGGGAGTAGGAAGGAGAATAAGGGGAAGATGTTAGGAGAATTTGCTGAGGCTAGAAATCTGAAGGGTGATCTGAGCCATAGTAGATTAAATGAGTGCCAATCTCTAAGACCTTTTCACTGGGTTCTGAACCAATAGGATGGCCCTGTGAATCGTCCCTTGAACCAAGTCGAAGTGAGAGTGGGGGCAATTCTAAAGGATTGGCTCCACTTGGAGCCATGTGCACTCGGGAAGGCTGGAGTCTGGCGACCCCTAATTATCATCTCAATTGTAAGTGTCTAAAGACAGCTTCTTAAACTGTGAGTTTGCTTAATTGAATATAGAGCAGAAAAATTTGGTAAAAGGGTTCCAAACACACAACCAAAAAATGCAAAATCAATGTGTAATGAATCTGAGGTGTTTCCGGGGAGTTCACCCAGGCTGCACCTTGTGGCTTCACTGCTACCTGGGTTCTGAACACACAGCATGCACAGTTTGTACTGAGCATGTGTCATGTCATGCAACACCAACCATCCTGATCTGAAACACCTTGGACAAGATTCAAGAATACTGCAGGCTATGAATAGCAGTGTTTTCACTGTATGTAAAAAGTTTATTTGCTCATATAGAAATCTAATGGTTTAATTACAGAAAACAAAGACTTTTAATATTTTCCTAACATTATCCCTCAGCATGTAAGTATTATATTATTACATCTTTGGATTGTATTCGGTTAGAATGTTTGATTTTTAAAAGGTGCTGTTTGAGCCAGGCTAGCTGGTGCTTGCCTTTAATCCCAGCACTTAGGAAGCAGAGGCAGACCAGATGGATTTCTGTGAGGTGGAGGTCAACCTGGTCTACAGAGCAAGATCCAGGCCATCTGGGGCTACAGAGAGACCCTGTATCCAAAAAAAAAAAAAAAAAAAAAAGTTGCTGTTTGAGTTCTGACTTCAGTTTTATCATTATTTTTAAAAAATCATTAAATGGGGCTGGAGAAAATGCTGAGTGCTTAAGAGCACTTACTGCTCTTGCAGAGGACCCAGGTTTTGTCCTGCCCACATAGTGGCTAGTATCTGTCCCTAACTTCAGTTTCAGGGCATTTGGTGTCCTCTTCCATCCTCTAGGAAAAAACTCACACACATAAGATGAAGACAAATGACACACTTTACAAAATTATTAAACAAACTTTGGCTTGGGACCAGAACTGAATTTCCAACACTTTTTGAAATGGCCCTCTGGTGTAGTTACAATGGGATGCCATGTTTTGGTGATGTTTAAAGGAAGACTGACCCTTAGTGGACTGGAACAGGTCAGAACCTGTTCTTTCAGAATTCTTTTGGAGCTGTGCTTTCAAACAAGGGCTCCCTTTTTCCATTTTTGAATCAGTGCATCCAGCATGAAATGGGGAAGTAAAAGTCTGAGAAACATTGAAGATACTGTGTCCTGAAGTATCAAACATTCAGGCAAGATTTAATGCTTCAGGTAAAATGAAGAAGCTATCCTATTAGTCTGCAAATTTGTTTTCATCTTAAAAAAGAATTGTAAGTTTTATCAGGACATTTCACAGAAAAAGTACTTTTTAAGTGAAAGCATGACATACAATTGCCCTCTTTATCAGAGTAACTCAGCACTCAGGTTTTTCCTACCTTCTGCTGTGCATGTGCCATTATTTAGGAACTTTGTCCCTGGATGAAGACATTCAAAACTCTTCTGATGACAGTATGTCGGGTATCTCTTTCCATTCGTTGCACACACTGAGGTGCCATTCCTTGGGCATTGGTAAGGGAGTTTACAAACACAGGTTCCATCGACACATTTCTGCCATGGCTGGCAGAAGACTTTGTTGCAGGAGCGATGTGTATATTTTTGCAGTAAGCACTTCTTCTCCACCAGGTCTTCTGGAGGTGGGGCTGCTGCTGAAGTCTGCTATAAAGCAGAAAGAAAACACTGACAACAGACTAAAGCGTTTTTCCTCTCTCAGAATCTGAAGTAATGAAGGAAAACAAAGCAGGCTCACCTGCTGAACACACAGCTGAAGACGGTGCAGCCTGGTGGTTTAAGAGCCCGACAATCCTGACTGCTGGCCCCGATTTGGGGTACTCTGGGCAAGTCGCCCTCATGAAATGACAATTTCCTCATCTATACAATGAGGATAATATCTCCTCCTTTTATTTTAAGGATTAGAAGCAGCAGTTGTACAATGTTTGGGACGTTCCAGGCATGCCCTTAATTGGACCTATTAGAAGGCCACCATAAAAGTTGCATTTGATCAATGAATCTCAGTGTCATGCTAAAGAGTAACTTACTTCATGCTGAAGACAGCCTAGTGGAATGGATTTGATGCCTCGGTCCTCTGGAAGAGCAGTCAGTGCTCTTAATCGCTGAGCATCTCCCCGACCCCTTTAGCAATTACTAGTATAGCTTGTCGACCAAGAAAGACAGTCTGTCTCTTTTAACTGCTGCTGCTTCCCTGCGATGTGGGCTCCCTCCCCTCTTGACCCTCTCCTTAATATTTATAACAATGGAGCGATTTTTGTGAACTCTGTCGTTTTGCACAGGAAGCTATTTTAGACAGTGATTAGAAAGGAGATAAGAGACATGGCGATCTCTGACCTTGACTTAGCCCCAGTGTAGACAGGAGCCTGACCTCAGGGCTCTTTGTCACCTTGCCTTTTCTGTTTTTCACTTTTAGTCTTTTAAAAAAGGAAAGAATGATAATCATCTATGAACAAAGCCAGAAAAAGGCCACCACTGCCCCCTCAACCGTTTTTGTTCTCTTGAAATGGGGTCTCCCTGTATTTCCCAGGCTGGCCTTGAACTCCTAATCCAACTGCCTCAGTCACTAGAGTAACTGGGATTACAGAGCTCGCTTTTCCTTCTGGGGCATTGTTAGAAGCTCCTTCTAGCCAACTGTGATTGTAAATCATTTTGCCTTTCTGATCCTGTTTCCTCTAAATAAAAATAATGTCTCATAGGATCAAATGAAAAGAAAATATGAGAAAACACAAACATTTAACATCTGCAAATGTTAATATGATGACAATTGTGAAAAACTGCTAATAGTCCCAATTTTCACTTCATTCCTCAGCTGTGTCTCTCCCTGGGGGTGAGTTGTATTCCCCTGTATTTTGACTCTGGGCCTCGCCATGAGACTCAATAAAGCCAATGGAAAGTTACCCACTAAACATGAATAGAGGACCATCCCATCTGGTCCTATTGTAGATTAGCTGGTCCCTGACCAAGCTATAGATTTATATATTGAATAAATTTGTGCACCAATGAGATTTTGTGGTGACTTTATAATTGCAACACTAACCAACTGGTATAATGATGTCCATGGAAAACACTTGTAAAGACTAGGTAGAAAAAGTTAAAAAAGAATACACAATGTAAAGCTTTGTTTCTCTTCCTGAAATACGCTGCTTGGATCTCGAGTTAGCACTCAGATTGGAAATCTGGAAATCGTCCTGTCAGAAGAGCTTTAGGCCTCCTTGGCTTTAGTTTCCCTCATCACAGTCTTCACTAATAATGTTTCTCTCTCCTTTGAATGGTCCATTCAGCCTGTGTCACCCCCCGTGGCAGAGCTGCTCCAGATGGAACTGATGCCCCAGGTACCCACAACTGTTCTGGTGAGATTAAAGAATGGTAAAGGAGAATGCTTCTTGATTAGTGTTGCAGTTGGCATCATTATCTGTCTAGGGGTACTGCTGGGTTTGTTTCCCCAGCCAATTAAAGAATAAGAAGGCAGGAAAAAAAAATCTCAGACCGGCAGAGAGTAACAATCAAACAAATTTATATTGAAAGATGAATCACATTCATACACATACATATACACATTCATACAAGAAGATGAAGCTCTCCACAAGTGGATTGGAAACAGAAATTCAGTGCCCCATGGGGAGAATCTAGGTTTTAAGGGTTTTAGTTGTTTTTCCCTTCCCTGATTTTGCATTAGTCATCTCCAAGCTGAGATGTTCAGGGCTACGTGATTCCTCGCAGGCCAGTTGAAGGGGCATTTAAAAAAAAAAAGGTTGTGGCTGGAGTTGGCTCAGCAGTTAAGAACAGTGACTGCTCTTGAAGAAGATCCGAGTTTGGCTCCCAGCACCTGCGTAGTGGCGAACGGTGTGTCACAGGAACTGTCCTGTCTTCATTACTCCTCAGTGAGCCTGTTTGCTTATTAGGGTTTGAGTCCCTTACATTAGTACTTAATAATGAATTGTTCCACTTTACATATGGAAGTCAATAGGGTCATTTATGGTTTTGGTTGGTTCTTTGCTATTATTATTATTATTATTATTATTATTATTTTCAGTCCTTCCTTTCACAGGATTAGAATGCTGTGGGGAATTATGGGAAGATGGTTACACAATGTTGGCAAGTATGGCGGGACTCTGTATATGATGTCTAACCACTCCAAAAAACAGGAAACATTGTTTTAAAATCAACTCCCAGCCGGGTGTGGTGGTGCATGCCTTTAATCCCAGCACTCGGGAAGGGAGGCAGAGGCATGCGAACCTCTGTGAATTCAAGGCTGGCCTGCTCTTCATAGCGAATCCAGGCCTGCCTCTGCCTCCTGAGTTTTGGGACCAAAGGAATGTGCCACTGTACCTGGCAATTCCTTGTATTTTTAAAGAGGTCAGCAGTGTATATTTGACTTCATATTTTATTCATCAATCCCCTAAACCAACATGATTTGCAACTAATGGGTCTACAGCCAAACGCCCAATTTGATCCTTAATAATGAAAGGTACTGCTTAAATTCGCTCAACAGAAATTGTTTTAATTTTTATTTCTATCATCAATATTATGAGAACCCTCATAAAAAAGCCAGGGGTGGTGGTATTCATGTGTAATCCCAGCACTGGGGAGGTAGAGACAGGTGGATCCCTAGGACTCTCTGGCCAGTCAGCCTCACTTTAATGAGGCCAGTGAGAGACTCTGTTCCCCAAAACATTGGGGTGGGTAGCACCTGAGGAGGAATGACATCTGAGGTGGTCCTCTGGCCTCCTCATACACACTCCCACAGAGCACCCCCCCAAGTGACTATGTGGACACATAACATGCACATGTGCACATGTACAAAGAAGTTCTATGGCTAAAATCATTCTCTAAAACTAAAATAGCATACTTGGTTGAACTAATAAGATCATAGAAGACTGGCAAACATAGACGTAGATCAATATGATCCACCCAGGACAAAATACACAAGTGCCATCATCTTGGCAGGAATTTCTTTAAAATGAGAGTGAAAGCATAGGCAACAGTACAAACTAGAGCTATGGAACAATGCTGCAGAAAGCTAAAAGGCTGCACGGACCCCAGCCTCAAAGGCAGCGTCTAAAAGGATCTGCAGCACACAAAAAATGCTTACAAACCATACGTCCAATCAAGGGTTAATATCTACAATGCAGAAAATGTTCATACAACTTGAAAGGAAAAGCAAATGCCCAACTTTAAACGTGGGCAGAGAGTCTGAATACACATTTCTTCAAAGGAGGCCTGAAAAGGGCCAGCAGACACATGAAAAGGT